TGAAACAACAGGCAATAGGAAGGTAGAAAGCAATAGATGAGAAGCTTGACGAAGGGGGTAAGTGTTGTGCTCAACCGTCAACAGTTCGTCGAGATATCCTTTTAAGGGCTACGACTTGTTGGCCCTCTCAAAAAGGGTGAGAGAGGTGAAGAGAGTTTAGAGAAGAATTTTTAGTCTCAGAGAGTGTTGAGAGGTTTAGAGAGTGGGCTCAGTGTAGAGAGAATTCTCAGTGAGATAAGTCACGTGGAGAAAGGAAAAGTTTTAGGAACTCAAAGAGATTAGGACTTAGAAAGAGAGTCTAAAGAGGGTTCTATTTATAGAGAGATTGTAATGAGGGTTCAAGGGAGGACCACAAGAGAGTTTGTAAAGAAAAAGATGAAAAGAATACGTAAAGGAAGAGGTGAGGGGCTTTAAATGAAGAAAGTATAAAGATGTAAGAAGACAGTACAAAAGGGTCTAATGAGGGGTACTCAATACTAGCAGGGAGAGGTAAAGAAGGGAGAGAGTTATACGAATGACTTTAAGAAGTGTAGAGAATAATTCTTTTTTGGCATTTTTGATAAGAACTAAATAAAACACAGAGAGAATTATAGAGAACAAAAGGGAAGCAGAGAAACAAATTTCTTTTTTTAATAAATAGGGGTTACTTGAAACAACAGGCAACATGGATGTAGAAAACAATAGATGTGAAGCTTGATGAAGGGATGTGAATATTGTGCTCAACCGACAACAGTTAACGCTACTTCATGGTGTCCCTAATTGATATTACGCTCAGAGTAAAAGAGAGTTTTGATATCTTGAGTTTCGTCCGGTAACAGAGTTAGACGAGTCTACCAAAAGACTATTAGAGCGTGATGACTCTACTAGGCTTAGTTACCCAATTCTTTGCACAAAGCAAACTCAACTTCACTTTTGATTTATTTCACACAAAGGGGTTACATATTTATAGTGAAACATAGCCCGACTTACCACACAGTGGTTTACAAAACCATGAGCTAAACCATAGACGAAAAGCAAAACCCTGGGACATTAGGTACATCCATATGTCATTTATACAATACCGTGGTACATCAGGCATATCATTTATACAATACCGTGGTACATCAGGTACATTTACATGTCACTCTTATTTACATCCACTTAAAAGCAACAAGTACAACCACGCATAAAAAGAAAACCCACTTGAAAAAAGTAAGTCATCTTGTAAAAACCAGGGGCTTGGGCTATAGTTGGACAATTTCTTCTATGATGAAGACATTTTCTTCATTACATTCTTCTTCAAGTCGTTCAGCTGTCTCTATCAGGGACAAGTCCTCTTGGATCTTAGATTTTGTGATTATTGCTTTGATTTGCTTCAGAGCCTTTGGTGAACATTGTGCAACCAAATGTCCTTGCTGGTAGGCATAACAGGTTCCTCCGGATCTCGATTTTATCGCCTTGTTTCTTTTGTACTTGTAGGGTTTGGAGTTTCTTCTTTTATGAATTTTTCTAAATTTGGGGATGTTGTATTCTTCTGTCCCTTGGATTGTGTTGCATACCTTAGAGCCTACTTTATGTGTGTCCTGGAACCATCTTTGTAACACAATTTTTTAGTTTCTCCTTGGGCAAACCCCACTACATCAGCCATTACCAGATTTTGTACTGATATGTTTTTCATTGAAAGTATTGCAAGCACAAGTTTAGGGACATTACCTGAAAGAGATGCAAGATAATATGCATTACAAGTTGCATTATTGTGTAATCCCAACCTGTAGCACTCATTGTTGTAACTTTTTGAATATTCTTCAAAATCATCAATGCTTTGGAGCTTTCTTTTTCCCAATAAGACAATGTCTGTAGCATATTGTATTCGAGATTCAGAAACAAATTTCGAAATTAATTTGGACCTTAATTCAGGGAATCCTGCCATAGAAATGACATCTTGCTTGACATCATCAAGATTAGTGCACCAGTAACCAACTCTTCCTTGTAAGAATCCTGAAGCATATCTGATGGAATCTATGTTTGACCATCTTATGCTGTCGACATACATTCCATTGTGTGCCTAAGTAATGATCTCTTGTTTTGTTTTAGAGGAGAATGAGTTAATTCATCAATATTTAAAATTGGAGTGGCTTCTCTTATATTTCTGAGACCTTTAAAATTGGAGTGGCTTCTCCTATATTTCTGAGACCATATTGCTCAACAGTAACAATTCTCATCATTTTCACTTGGGAAATTGAAGATGAGTCTTCCATATATTCAGAATTTTGAAGAAGAAAAGAAGGAAAGTTAGGAAAACTGGGAGGCTTGTATTTAAGAGTTTTTGCAGGTTCATCTTCCTTTTTCTTTTTGTAGCTTTCTTTGATTTCAAATATTTGCAGGTGATTCTCATGTATTTGCAAAATGTTTTCTTCTGCCTTCTCCTTCTTTCTTTTCTTTTGCTTTCTTGTCAGCCAATATTTCTACATATTTTTCTTATTTCTTGAATCTGAGATTTTATGGTGGATATATGCTTTTTAGCATATGAGGTCCAATGAATTTAAGTAGTTTAACTGGTGTACCTCGTCTTTTTGAACTCTGTTAGAATCAATGTTATGAACCATGAGGTAGCTCGTATCTGCTCTTGATTTAGGACCTTCATGATTTTCTAGTTGCTCTGGAGTAGCAGTAGAATAAGCCATTTTGGGAGGCCAATCTCCTCCAAGGACTAAAGACTGACTAGTATCTTTTTTCACTGTGGTTATCATGGGACTCTGAACAATTTGAGCGGCTTTCCAGTTGGGTGAATCTATAATTTCTCTCACAGGGGGATCAATATTGATAACTGGCAGAATGGGGGGTAAAGTATTTCTTTGGCTAATTTGAAGGGCTTTGTATATAGGTTTCAGGGTGATGGTGGAGTATTTTGCTGGTGTTTGTATGGGGTTTTGGACAACATTTTGAAGTCTGTTTTTTCCTTTTGAAATTGATGAGACTCCAAATATTCAGAAATAGCAGGAAAATTGGTTATGAAGCTTTCAGAATTTACCAAGAGACCAACCTCAAACACAAAATTTGAAATTTGAGGGAATTTGACGCCATAATCTAATTTTGAACTGGTGACTACAGAACTTGTTAAGTTAAAAATACACTTGGATGCTATAGTATCATACACATAACCTGGTAAAAGATTTACTCATTTTACTTGCATACAGACCATGAACGCTTTGGTAATAAATTCATCATTTAGACTCAAAGAAAAGTTCGAAAAAATAGTGTAGATAATATCTGTCTAAACATCCTCTAAATTGACATACCAAGGTTTTTCCCATTCTAAATGTCTGATATCCTAAAGAGAAACTAAATATTCTAGTCCTGTATCATAATTGAAGTGTGGATGAACAAGCATATCTATTTGCCTGATATGGACATATTGATATTTTTTATTTTTCCACCCTCTCAATATCTGATTTTTCAAAGAAAAGTAAAAATATAGGACAAATTTCTTTACCTTTGACATGGAGATTGACTATAGACTGGCAAACTAAGTTGGAAAATCTGGACTCAAGCAAAAAAAGATTATACAAATCCTGTTTATGAACTTCAGGGAAACTAACATTACCTAGGCATCTAAAACACTTTCCTATTCTAGCACACAGGAATGCAATGGAACAGAGGAGGTAGGACTGATTAAGGTTTTTGGATTTTTTGGGGTCATTTTTTGGGTTTCTGATGAAGAGTTTGAGGAAGCTCTGGATCTTAGCATTTTCATTTGGGAAACTGGATGGTTTGAGTATTTAGAAAGCTCATTTTGCTCAAGATCTTCTTCTAGAAAGTTATTTAGCCATTGAGGATCCGGGGCTTCCTCACCAGTTTGAGATTAAGGCATATGAGGATCAAATTCTTTTGCAAGCAACTCGCCTTTTCCTTTCATCATTTGTGCATATTCCTCAAATCTTGAAGGGTATTCTGGATATGACTTTTAGCATGAAGCCTTTTTAGAAGAAGAGTAAGGAAAGGCTTTTTCATCAAACTTTCTTTTTACCGAAGATGAGCTTACTGAAGATGAACTTTCAACACTCTCTATATCATCAAGGGGTAAGTTTTTGCAAATGATTTTAAAAATTGGACAGTAACAATTTTCAAAGAGTCATTCATATTTAATGAATACTAATTTATAATATACATCTTTTCTTTTGAAGTCTGGAAATATTTTTCTCACTGAACAATTTCATCTATTGGAAAGGGAATACCTTCCTATTTGATATTTCTCATATCACATATCAGTATCATCAAAATCTTATTAAGAGAGCTATCCAGTTGTGGATTTCTAAAGGAATAGCGATTTCCTCCTTTATGCGCTACTACAGAAATAGTGAATTTGTTTGGCTTGCTTTCATCATATAAGTCAAATTGAGTAATTACCTCATTGCCAAACATGTAGAGTGCCATTTTTTTGGAAAATTCTTTTCCACCACACTTGACTACGGCAGAACCTATGCGCTCTAATACCAGAAAGGGGGCGAGAGGCTTTGGTATTATCTTCTTCTTTAATTTTCACTGAATGGTACCTTAACTTTCAATCAAATTTTGAGAAAATCCTTTTTTCTGCAACTCTCTGTATCAACTCTTTTATATTGGGTAATGGCCATTTAATATTTGTTGTTGTTACCTGATTTAGAAAAATATAATTAAGTACCATTCTGGTTTTTCCTCTGAATGATTTCTCACACAATAAAAGCTGAACAAGAATAATTTGACTGGGATGGCCTAGTTAACCCTTTTTCTGTCAGTTTTATCATCTGAATTTTCAGCTCATCGTCATCCTCTTTATAGCATCTTAGAGGCCTATTCTGAACTATGATATTATGGATGGTTGGTATATTTTGGGTGAATCTTTATCCCAATTTTCTAAAGGATCATTTTTTTTTTTTTTAAAAAGATGAATATCATTTTGGAGGATATTGATAATTGTTGCTTACCACTAAACTGATACCGTCATGTGGATGGATGTCCAATTCTATAATTTTGTTTTGCAGTTGCTCTTCTCTCGGGATTCATTCGCCAAGACCAAGCCCACAAAGGAGCATGTGATCGCAGGATGGCTGCCTAAGGTTAACCCATGAAGGTCTTGTAGCTGAATATGTGGATGGGGATATGTTGCCTGAAAATCTAGTGAGTCGGTGCATTTCCTCTAATCTAAACTATTAATAAAAGTTCAGTCATGTAAAGAAAGTTATTAGTATTGATGCTATTGTGGCTAGTTATTTATCCATGGATGTGTGCTTCTTGTTCGTATACATCACCATGTGCTGTATGATGGATTAAGATTAGTTGGTAATTGGGTAGGTGCTTCTGAGATACTTTTACGAAAATTTGATGTCCTGTTGTTGCCTAGCTTGGTTGATGCGTAAGATTTTAAGGTGTTAAAAATTGGTAGTTTGTTGAAGTGCTTCACTGTTGGTTCATAAAATGTCATAATAAAACTAAGCTTTTGGACAAACTCCTTAAGAGGCTCTTTGATTGCGCTGCCCCAAATCCCCCTCCTATCTATATCTGGCCTGGTTTACTTAAATTATGAAAAATTTATCATTTGTACATGGAAGTCAATCATTACAACTCATTATCCGACAAATTGGATGGCTTGGGGTGTGATGTTCGAGAATTTTTATTTTTTTGGTACTTTTATTTCTATTCAATGACTCTTACAACCACTCATTTTGAAATTTGAAGGACAAGAATGATTGTGATATCCATATACAAAAAGTAAATAGTAAAAAATCCATTCAATAACGACTAGTCGAGAGAGTTCTAAGAGGCTGCACATTATCAGAAGTTGCAAGTTGAGACTTTACAGAAAACAAAAAGAAAAAAAAAAAAATTACAAAAAGACTATTTTTTTGTACAAGGTCATAATTATTCTTGTCCATCGAATTTCAATTTGGGTGGCTATAAGAGTGTTAGAAACTCAATTTCAAAACAAAATTTCTTAAAAATTTTGGAACACACTTTAGACCATCCAATTTGATGTCAAATGGCTAAATGTAATTTTGACCTCTTTGTAAAAAAAGTAAATGGTTTCATGGTATCATAGTATATAGGATAATAGTATATAGGACGAGGTTAAGATGAATGGTCTCAGCATACAATCCTATAATAAAATGGGACGGTTTGGGTCAAAGTTTGGTTCTAGAAAGACTGGTCCTCCTCCTATGAGGACCTGACCTTGTGTTCTACCCTAGTGTCTGGTCTGGAGAGTTGAGGTGCAAGTGTTGCTGAGCTTATTTCATTACTGTTAGCAATAGTTGCGGTGTATTATGGTGATTGAAATTGGGTTTTCAGGAATTATACAGGTTGGTTATATTACCTGTGTTGGGCTCTTTGTGGTGAGATTGAAATAGGAAGTGTTGCTAGCTTCGTAACTACCAATGGCTCCCCTGGTTGTCTCACTGCAGTGAGTAGCTGGCGGCTAGGGGACAAAGTCTAGAGGGAGACTAGACGTGCTTTTAGGGTAATGTGGTGGGAGAAAATCCGTGCAGCCCACGACAGTTTTTTTTTCTTTTCTTCTTTTTCTCGTGGGAAGCTTTGCATTTTCCCTCTTTTGAAAACTCTCTCCTCTAGACTCTATGAGCTAGGGGTGGGTGAGTGAGAACAAGTCGGATTGAGGTCAGATCCAGCCGGATTTAGATCTGGATTTGAATAGTATACATAAAATTAGGGGGTCGATTTGGATCCAAATTGGATTTTAGATATTTGGATTTAGATCTGGATCTGAATAGTTTAAATTGGATATGAATTCAGATTAATATATATATATATATACTATTTAAAAAAAATTATATGTACGTAATACTCGGTTGGATTCAGATTTGGATCTGGGTTGGATCTAGATTGGATCCACCTACATCCAGATCTGATCCGAATTTCAATTCGGACTTGACTTTTGTGCCAGATCCTGATTTCAGATCTAAATTTTAGGTCTATACCTGGATCCAAATAGGGTTTGAAATCTAGATTTTGGATCTGGATCGAGTCAATTTTCACCCCTACTCTGAGATCTCTCTGTTCGGATCGAACTCTCTAGAGCTAGGGCAAATCTTCTCTCTCTCTCGTGCTAACATATCTTGGTTTAGAAAATTGTATGAACCAACAGAATAGGTCCAAGTAAGATATACAGGGAGGTCAGTTTCTGATGGCCTCATTCACTTCCCTAAAAAGCATGCCTGAATTCAACATCCAATGCTGAATGAGAATGCTCGACTTCCCGCAGAAAAGGAGATAATTTCCCACGAGCATTGTTTGGATTAGAACACCGCCTAATCGTGTTATGACCTTGTTGATATCAGGTTAATCTCCTGTAGGAGTCCCAACACCATGGCCTCAGTAGTTGTCACCACTCTACAAGAGTTTGAGAAAAATAGGAGTGTTGCACACTTTCACTGGTGTGATCTTTAATGATTCGTCCAATCTCCGACGCCCCGGGGTTATCTAATGAGCAGCGATCGAAGTTCAATTTAATTGCATTAACCAAAGAGCTGACCATACCCCTATTCTTCTTTCCTTATTTCTTCTAAGCTTAAGGGTTTCAGTTAAGCTCCCACAAATGTCTGTTAACGATATACCTTAGCACGTCTCAACGGGCTTAACCCACTCTGTCAGTCAACAAAATCTTCTCCTTAACTGCTTGCATCTTGGACACTTTGCTTTCAAAAGCTTTGCTATCTCTCCTTCCATAATTGCCAAAGTATTGCTGCTATCAGTATCTCCAACTCCTCTGGAGAGTTGTGAGAACATTTCCCCACCATAGAACCTGCAAAAATGCTTGGATCTTGCAGGGGACGGGGAATTTCCAGGCCTTTCGAACTATATCATGAGGGGTCTGGATCTATCTATTGTTAGAAGTTTGTAGGCTGATTTGACCGAAATACTTCCATCCTCACTGTGTTCCCAAATTCATCAGGTCCCCTGGAGTTGTAATGCATGCATTGGAGACCTGCTAATAGCTGGGCAAACTGTGAAATAAAAGCATCACTTATTCTTAGTTACCTACACACGATATGCTAGGTATTATTCCAACCCTACTCCGGTACAGCCCGCAGTACAAGCCCCTTTGAATCTAACTTTACTATTGACTTTAGGATAATGCCATTTCAAAGGGCAATCACCTATCCATTTGTCGTGGCAAAAGAGGATCTTCCTTCCATCTCCAACTAACATTCTCGTATTAGTCATGAAGAAGATTCAACACCTTTTATATTTCTCTACATTGGTGAGCATCTTGACCTTCCGGACAGTGTAATTACTCCAAGTTAGGGTTTATATTTAGAATCTATAACTCATCTCCATTGGTGACCATGGTCTTGTCAATATCTCCGCCACCAAATTAGATCCCACACCAAAAATTTCACTGGAAGAAGTTGTTTTGATACCCAAATATCCTCAAATTGATCATCTCGATATCAAGATGCAAAGACATGAGAAAGAAATGGATTTCAAGTTTTGGAAATAGTGCATTTTGTAAGGCATTTTTTGACCGTCAAACTTCAAGATTTTATAGATCTGATTGATCTACACTATTTTTGAAGTTTTAAATTTTATAATTATAAAGAAAAAATATATTTTAAGGCTTTCACAAAGATTTCCAATATTGAAACCACGTTTCTTGACACTATTTGAAGGTGCACTTTACTTTGATTGTTTAGAACCTTTGCTGTATACAAACTGCACCCATTAGCATTATTCATATGCTTTATCCCATGCTACCAAATGGAATTCCTCTTCCTGCCTGTGTAACCCCATAGGAAGTTCCTTACTAGGCTTTCAAGTTTCTTTCTTATATAGTTGGGGATTCTAAATAACGACACACAATAGATTAGCTGGTTGGATAATGTAGACGGAAAAAGTTTATATAAGGTTGCGACTTTAAAATGTAGAATTAAAGATGTACCTCAAAAGTCCATAGGAAAATGTTGTTTTAGTGTTGAAAAACCATCTAATTGATCATCTCAACATCAAGATGCATGAATATGAAAAAAAAGAAAGATTTTGAGTCCCAAAAATAAGTACATCTTGCAACATATTATCTAGACTGTCCATTTTCAAGATTTTCATATGTTTATTGATCTACTTGATTTTAACCATTTTTGGAGTGTTAAATTTTATAATTAGATATGAAAATATATTTTCAGATAATCCTAAAAATTTTTTACACCAAAATTACATGTTATGATAAAATTTGGAGGTGCGCCTTAATTGGATTGTTTAAGGTTGCAACCTTATAGACACCACACCCAATGTAGATTTATATTATAGGATCTTCCAAACTTAGCAATTTTGATTTCCAAACATCCAATCTGAACTGAAATATCTCAATCACTGCATCCGATGTTGATATTGGTGCCGGGCCTTCAATAATTGGAAGGCCAAGGTACATGATTGGCAATTTATCCATTGATCATCTCATTATCCTGAAAGCATTCTAAGAATAGTTTACGTTGTTAATCTCACCTTCATTACCAACAATGTACTGTTTGTATATTGTGAGTAATGAGAGGTCCCAAGGGAGTTGGTAAGGAGCCTAAAATTAGATTTTTTGGGCTTTTAGGATGTTGTCTTTGATTTGTCTCCTGGAAATGAAAGCTGATTGGGGGGTTGATATAATCGAGGGCAGCACAGATTTTAGTCTTGAGGCATGCACCTTTGAAATAATCTTAATATAAACTACCCAACAGACTAATTGTTCTTATATCAATAGAGTTTTCTATAGTGCCTTTCTAGGGGATTAATGCTAGAAAGGCAGAGTTCACTGATTTTTTAAACCTTTCGGAGGGAGAATTCCTCAGCCAAAATATCTTCTTTTAACTGTACATCAAGGAAGTTTTGAAAGAGAGCCATGGGGTAGCCATCAGGCCGAGGTTCTCTTTCTTTTCCAAGTTCACAAACAACTTTGTCCATTGTAATTTGTAAACCACCCTGCATCCCTTAGTGATTGTTGTTTGAAAGGCACCATGTCTGTGGAAGTTTCTGGTCTTCTTTCAGCAGTGAAAGCCTTGCTGAAATGACCACAATTGCCCTTACCCAGGCTTCTCTGCCATTCTCATCGACTCCTGGTATCTTTAGCCCATGAAGATCATCCTTCGTATGGCATTTGCAATTGAAGGGGAAAACTTGGTGTTTCTATTCTTTCTTTTAACTATTTAACTCTAGATCTTTGCTTCCAAACAAATTTCCTCCAACTTCTGACGTTCATTTAGGAACTTGAATTAGTTCTACTCAATGTTTCAAAAAGCACTAGGTAGTACCTCGACGGTAGGGGTTCCAGGCCGCCCAACGCCTAGATGGGCGCCCAGAACCTGTGGCCCAATAATATTTTTCTTTTTTGGATTCGCGCTCTAAAATAACCTCTAATGGGTTTTAGGTTTCAAATGAACCTAAAACTCACAATCTTGC